TTCAGCATAAGGCAGCATGACCTCTTCAAGTATTCTGATGTATTCAAACTGATCCATGATCCCTGGTATGTGATAAATAGGCCCAACACTGTAGTATGATAAACATCCCCATATCATGATGCTTGCCCAACCATGCTTCACTGTCTTCACAGTGTACTGTGGCTTGAATTCAGTGTTTGGGGGTCGTCTGACAAACTGTCTCCAGCCACTAGACCCAAAAAGAACAATCTTACTTTCATCAGTCCACAAAATGTTGCGCCATTTCTCTTTAGGCAGGTCAATGTGCTCTTTGGCAAATTGTAACTTCTTCAGCACATGTTTTTGCTTTCAACAGTGGGACTTTGCGATGGCTTCTTGCAGATAGCTTGGCTTCACATAGGCGTCTTCTAATTGTAACAGTACTCACAGGTAACTTTAGACCTTCTTTGATCTTCCTGGAGCTGATTGTTGGCTGAGTCCTTGCCATTTTGTCTATTCTTCTATCCATTCAAATGGTAGTTTTTCGCTTTCTTCCACGTCTTTCAGGTTTTGGTTACCATTTTAAAGCATTTGCGATCATTTTAGCTGAGCAGCCTATCATTTTCTGCACTTCTTTATAGGTTTTCCCCTCTCCAATCAACTTTTATATTAAGGTATGCTGTTCTTCTGAACAGTGTCTGGAACAACCCATTTTCCTCAGAATTTCAGAGAGAAATGCACTGTAACCAACATGTACAACCTTTGCTGCCTTCCTTCCTTAAATAAGGGCAATAATTGCCACCTGTTTTTCAAAGAATGAATGACCTCACTAATAGAACTCCACACTGCTATTATTTTGAACATGCCCCTTTCAATTAGTGATTCAATTACACAGAATCAGCAGCATGCATGTCATGACTGTTGGGTCTGTTGGATTTCTGTTTACTCTACTACACCTGCTAGTAAATTATTTGCCATGTAGAAATATCATTTCTACCAAAAACAGTGATTGATCAGGTTAGTGATGTCTGACTGCTGTTATTTTGAACACAACTGTATATATATATATATATATATATATATATATATATATATATATGTGTGTTTCTGTATTTCCAGGTAGGACAATACACCATTGGCGGCTTCAGCTGTCGCTCACCGGGTACCCAGTGATGGCCCTCCAGCACCCGGCAATCGCTGAGTATCACTGATGGGAGAGAGGTCTATATGTAAACAATACAAATCTCTCCTCTGTCAGCTCCAGCACGCTGCTTTGTATGAAGCGTGCTTACATAGTAAAGCACAGCACACAGTAAAAAACACACAGCACACAGTTAACCCTTTGGTTGCCCTAGATGTTAACCCCTTCCTGCCCAGTGTCATTAGTACAGTGTCAGTGCTTTTTATTAGCACTGATCATTGTATTAGTGGGGATGTCAGTGAGTTAGCGAGTTCCCTCCCAATGTCAGAATGCCTGCCGTAGTCCCGCAATAAGTCACAGATTGCCGCCATTACTAGTATATAAAAAAAAAAATCCAGTATATATACTGCCATTTGTAGACGCTATAGCTTTCACGTAAACCAATTAAATTACATGTATTGGGGATTTTTTTAGCAAAGACATAAAGCAGAATACATAGATAATAAGAAAAGAGCTTTTATTAAATATAAAAATGAAGGAACGCTATCATCGTTTAAACATTACAAAGAATATAACAGAATATGCAAAAAGGAAATAAAGGCCGCAAAAATTGAAAATGAACGACAGATTGCAAAAGATAGCAGGACCAACCCCAAAAAATTCTTCAAATATATTAATAGTAAAAAGGTCTGGTCTGAGCATGTAGGCCCTTTACAAAATAATCTGGAGTGGGTGACTGGGGACAAAGAGAAGGCAAATTTATTTAATACCTTCTTCAGCTCTGAGTATACAAAGGAACATGGGGGAGCTCTTGTCCATAATGGGCATGGTATTGACACAGCTCCAGATAATCCACATTGGCTCAAAATTGATATGATCCAAAAATATTTAGACAGTATAAAGGTGAATAAAGCACCCGGACCGGATGTTATACACTCATGGGTCCTTAAAGAATTATAGACCTGTTAGTTTAATTTCTGTAGTTGGGAAAATATTGGAGAGCTTAATAAAAGACCACATAGATGAGTTCTTGCTGGAAAAAAATATTTTAAGCAACAGACAGCATGGATTCGTGAAAGACAGAAGTTGTCAAACAGAACTGATTTCTTTTTATGAGGGGGTGAGCAAACCTTTGGCGGTGGACGTGGTATACTTGGATTTTGCAAAAGCGTTTGATACAGTTCCCCACACATGGCTAATGTGTAAGGGTAAAGGGCTTGGAAAAATCTGTATGTAAATGAATAGAAAACTGGCTAAAAGATTGTATTCAAAGAGTAGTGGTTAATGATTCATACTCTGAATGCTCTAGGGTCCTCAGTGGTGTACCCCAAGGTTCAGTGTTGGGACCCTTACTTTTTAATATATTTATAAACAATATAGGGTCTGGGATTTATAAATACCATTTCAGTCTTTGCAGATGACACCAAGCTGTGCAGTGGAATAACGTCGTTACAGGATGTCTTCAACTTACAAGCCGACCTCAATGCACTGTTTAATTGGGCAACTACGTGGCAAATGAGGTTTAATGTTGATAAAGGTAACGTTATGCACTTGGGGTCTAAGAATATGCATGCATCATACATACTAGGGGGAGTACAACTGGGGGAATCAATAGTGAAGAAGGATCTGGGGATCTGGTAGATCACAAGCTTAATAATGGCATGCAATGCCAAGCTGCGGTTTCTAAAGCGAGCAAAATCCTCTCTTGTACTAAAAGAGGTATAGACTCCAGAGAGAGAGAGATATCATATTACCCCTGTACAAATCATTAGTAAGACCTCATCTGGAATATGCAGTTTAGTTTTGGGCACCAATTCACAAAAAGAGCATTGGGGAACTTGAGAAAGTACAGAGAATGGCAACTAAACTGATAAGAGGTATGGAGGAGATCAGCTATGAGGAAAGATTAGAGGAACTGAATTTATTCTCTCTTGAGAAGAGGAGATAAGGGGGGATATGATCAACATGTATAAATACATCAGTGGTTCATATAGTGAACTCGGTGTAGAGCTGTTCACCCTGAGGTCATCACAGAGGACAAGGGGGCACTCTTTACATCTGGAGGAAAATAAATTTAATCTCCAAACACGGAAAGGTTTCTTCCACAGTGAAAATGTGGAATAGACTCCCTCAAGAGTTGGTTCTGGCCAGCTCAGTGGATTGCTTCAAAAAAGGTCTGGATTCTTTCTTAGATACACAGAATATAACTGGATACTAACATTTATAGGTAAAGTAGATCCAGGGAATATTCAGGGAATATCTGATTGCCTCTCGGGGAGGCATTTTTTTCCAGCAGGAGCAAATTGGATCATGCTTTGCTGTTTTTTTTGCCTTCGATAAACTGTGTGTATAGGATTATAACTTTTTTTTTTTCTATGGTTGAACTGGATGGACTTTTTTCTTTTTTCAGCCAGACTAACTATATAACTATGTAACATTTTGGTCTAAATTTATAACTAAATTTGATTTTTAATTTTTTTTTACTGGACATGTTTAATAGCAAAAAGTCAAAAATATTGTTTTTTTCTCAAAATTGTCGGATTGTTTTTGTTTATAGCACAAAAAATAAAAAACCGCATAGGCAATCAAATACCACCAACAGAAGCTCCATTTTCTGGGAAAAAAAGGACATACATTTAATTTGGGTGCAGCATTGCATGACTGCGCAATTGTCAGTTAAAGTAACGCAGCGCCGTATTGCAAAAAAATGGCCTTGTCAGGAAGGGGGTTAAATCCTCTAGAGGGCAAGTGGTTAAAAAAAAGTTTTTGCTTCTGAAAGGTGGCATTATGCAGTGCTTAAGTCTTTTGGGGATATATTGGTTTTAGTTTATATTAATAGGACCTTTTTTCAATTTGAGATGCTCAAAGCAAAGTGAATATTGGTGTTCACTTCAAATACCTAATCATGTCGGAGGAAAATGTAAAAACAGGATATTTGCTAACACATAATTGGGTATTCAAAGTGAAGACAGGTTTACCTTATTTACCAAAATAACTAATAATTGCAAATAATTTTTTTTCATTTTACTGACACATATGGAGGAGCTGAAGAACCAGGTATGATCACTTACTGGCACTATGCAACAAAGCTGAAACAATGTCTGTGCTTGAATCCCAAATGCTTACGCATATATAGCATGAGAAAGAAACTGCCAATTTTACCAAAAGCATTTCATAGTTCTTTCACATACTGGCTTGTAATATGTTTTCAAGATCTCATTTTTGGAGGTATTGGATCTATACTAAAATCACCTGGAATAGAAGCAAACACTGCCTTCTAAACGGAAATATTCTGGTCTCAGTAGCATGAAAGATGGTATCTTAAATTAAATAACGTTTTCTGGATTGACATATTAACCACTTGACATCCTGAGGATTTACCCCCCTCCATGACCAGGCCATTTTTTGCATTACGGAGCTGCATTACTTTAACTGACAATTGCACAGTCATGCAAACAAAATTTGTGTCCTTTTTTCCCCATGAATTGAGCTTTCTTTCGGTGGTATTTGATCGCCTGTGCGTTTTTTATTTTTTGCGCTATAAGCAAAAGAATATCGACAATTCTGAGAAAAAAAACAATATTATCATGTCCAGTAAAAAAAAATTTAAAAAAATCTAATTTCTTCATAAATTTAAGCCAAAATGTATTCTGTGACATGTCTTTGCTAAAAAAAATCCCAATACGTGTAAATTAATTGGTTTATGTGAAAGTTATAGCGTTTACAAATGGCGGTTTAGATAATGGGATTTTTTTTTTCTACTAGTAATGGCAGCGATCAGCGACTTATAGTGGGACTGCTGTGGGCATTCTGACACTGGGGGGGGGGGAAACTAACTCCAGTGACACTAATACACTGATCAGTGCTAAAACAAAAGCACTGACACTGTACTAATGGCACTGAGCAGGAAAGGGTTAATGTGAGGGGCGATCAAAGGGTTAACTGTGTGCTTTAACAGGGGGCGGGGGGGGTGTTCTTCACTGTAAGCACACTGATCGGGATAGCTGTACTGTGCACAGCCATCCTGAGCAGTGTGCTCAAGCTGACAGGGAGGAAGATTGCTTGTAAACAAAACAATCTTCCTCCCCGTCGGAGATGCTCTGTAATCACCGGGCGCTGGCGGGTAACTACCGGCCGGGACTCAGTGATTGACATCTGTGGCCGCAAACGGCGGCGCGGGTAGGGTGCGAGTGTGGCTCGCGCATGCCCCTACCCAGAACTGCAAAATTACATATATATACGTGATTGTGCACACAGGTGCCGCTCTGTAGCAGTATATCTGCTATAGGGCAGTCCTTAAGCGGTTAAAAAGAGAATTGTTTACCTAGTTGGAAATTAAATCCAACAATCTGGGTTTAAAGCTCACTACAAATGCTATAATATGAGAGTACAATTTTTGTAGTAGTCTCATTTTGATTTAAAAAAATGCAATATGAATACCTACCTAAATAATCTATTTAACTTGTATCCAGACAGGTAGACCTTTGCACTACAAAGCTGTTGGTAGATCTAAAGGATGGCATAAGCAGATTGCAATGTGTGTGGTGAACTTAATTTGTTTAGTCAGTTGATTTGTCACTTTGCCTACAGCATACCTGTTACTATCCTTGCCAATTTAAACTAAATATGCAGAAATGCACAAGTAGAGGATGCCTTTAAAAAATACATACAAAAACTTCAGATACTTCCAGAAATATAAGATTTTGCCGTTTATGAAGTTTATGTGATAGGCAGCCCCACTGATCAATTGGGAGTCTGGATGGAGTAAAGCCAAGCTTGACATTTACAGGAAGCATCAATAATTCCATATAGCATACACTATATTGCCAAAGGTATTGGGACACCCCTCCAAATCATTTGATTCAGGTGTTCCAATCACCTCCATGGCCACATGTGTAAAATCAAGCACCTAGACATGCAGACTCCTTCTACAAACATTTTTGAAAGAATGGGTCGCTCTCAGGAGCTCAGTGAATTCAAACATGGTACCGTGATAGGTTGCCACCTGTGCAATAAGTCCATCTGTGAAATTTCCTTGCTACTAAATATTCCACGGTTAACTGTTAGTGGTATTATAACAAAGTGGAAGCAACTGGAAACAACAGCAACTCAGCCACGAAGTGGTAGGCCACGTAAAATGACAGCACACAGTGCGCAGAAGTCGCCAGAAGTCGCCAATTGTCTAAAGAGTCAATAGCTAAAGAACTCCAAACTTTGTGTGGCCTTCAGATTAGCACAACAGTTCATAGAGAGCTTCATGGCACGGTTTTCATGGCCGAGCAGCTGCATCCAAGCCTTATATCACCAAGTGCAATGCAAAACGTTGGATGCAGTGGTGTAAAAAAGGCCACCACTGGACTTTAGAGCAGTGGAGACATGTTCTCTGGAGTGCCAAATCCCACTTCTCTGTCTGGCAATCCAATGGACCTGTCTGGGTTTGGCGGTTGCCAGGAGAGCGGTACCTGCTTGACTGAATTTTGCCAAGTGAAAAGTTTGGTGGAGGGGGGATTATGTTGTATGGATTGTTTTTCAGGGGTTGGGGGTCGCCCCTTAGTTCCAGTGAAGGGACCTCAACCCAATAGAACACATTTGGGATGAATTAGAGTGGAGACTGCGAGCCAGGCCTTCTCGTCCGACATCAGTGCTTGACCTCACAAATGCGCTTGTGGAAGAATGGTCAAACATTCCCATAGACACTCCTAAACCTTGTGAACAGCCTTCCCAAAAGAGTTGCAGCTGTTATAGCTGCAAAGGGTGGGTCAACTCACTATTGAACCCTACTGACTAATGCAGGCCATAGATGGGTCGAAAATCGGCCGATTTTTCGTCCGAAAATAAAATCGGCCGATTTTCGGATCGTTAGTGGGCGATTTGGTCGGCCGTTTTTCGGTATTTTGGCCGTTTTTTTAAATCGGGAAAGTTGGAAAAAAATCGGCCGATCGGCCGATTTTCGCGGCAATAATGGGCTAATCGGCCGATTTTTTACCAATAAAAAATCTGCGCATGAGCAGTGACCTGCAAGAGGAAGACAAAAAGAAGAAAAAGAAGAAGAAGAAGAGGATGAAGATGATGAAGAGGAAGAAGAAGTAGAAGAAGAGGATGATGATGAAGAGGAAGAAGAAGTAGAAGAAGAAGAAGTAGAAGAAGAGGATGATGATGATGAAGAGGAAGAAAGTAGAAGAAGAAGAGGATGATGATGATGAAGAGGAAGAAGAAGAGGATGATGATGATGAAGAAGAAGAAGAAGAGGATGATGATGAAGCAGGAGAAGAAGAAGAAGGATGAAAAATTAGAGGAATTCCAGTACGGCAAAAAGTGACCCTGCAGAGAGCTCCGCTATTTCTTTGACAGTTCTCTGACAGTTCCTTGACATTTACAGCGGTTGTAACATTGTATCTATTTGTTTCCGAATAAAAACATCTGTATCCTAAATGGATACAAATAGATACATTGTTGCAACCGCTGTAAATGTCAAGGAACTGTCAGAGAACTGTCAAAGAAATAGCGAAGCTCTCTGCAGGGACACTTTTTGCCAGCTGTAGACAGGATGAAAATCAGCCGATTTTTTTTACCATTGATGGTAACGTCGGCCGCTTGAACGACCGATTGTTTGTTTTTTTAAAGAAAAATCTGCCGTTTTTCTCCCCGTCTATGGCCTGCATTAGACTAGGATGCCATTAAAGTTCATATACATGTAAAGGCAGGTGTCCCAATACTTTTGGCAATATAGTGAAGCTCTGTATGTACTTATTGTTCACACACCGCTTTTGATCATGCATTTTTTTTTTGCAAGGTTAGTTTTATTTGAACAGATTAGTGGCAGGTTTATTTTATCATTACCAGGCGACTGTCAAAGTATCTATAACCAAAAGAAAAAAACTTTACAAAAGAGAACATCAATGAGTGTAGTTATACAGTGAGGAACAGAAGTATTTGAACACCCTGCGATTTTGCAAGTTCTCCCACTTAGAAATCATGGAGGGGTCTGAAATTCACATTGTAGGTGCATTCCCGCTCTGAGAGACAGAATTAAAAAAAAAAATTCAGGAAATCACATTGTATGATTTTAAAAGAATTTATTTGTCTTGCACTGCTGAACATAAGTATTTGAACACCTAAGAAACAGCAAGAATTCTGGCTCTCAAAGACCTGTTACTGTGCCTTTAAAACGTCCACCCTACTCCACTCATTAATTTAACTTAGTAGCACCTATCTGAGCTCTTTAAAGACACCTGTCCTCCCCACAGTCAGTCAGACGCCAACTACTACCATGGGCAAGACCAAAGAGCTGTCAAAAGACACCAGAGACAAAATTGTGGACCTCCACAAGGCTGGAAAGGGCTACAGGGCAATTGCCAAGCAGCTTGGTGAAAATAGATCAACTGTTGGAGCAATTGTTAGAAAATGGAAGAGGCTAAAGACGACTGTCAGTCTCCCTCGGACTGGGGCTCCATGCAAGATCTCACCTCATGGGGTATCACTGATGATAAGAAAGGTGAGGAATCAGCCCAGAACTACAAGGGAGGAGCTGGTCAATGACATGAAGAGAGCTGGGACCACAGTTTCAAAGGTCACTGTCGGTAGAACACTACGCTGTCATGGTTTCAAATCATGCATTGCACAGAAGGTTCCCCTGCTCAAGTCATCACATGTCCAGGCCCGTCTGAAGTTTGCCAATGACCATCTGGATGATCCAGAGGAGGCATGAGAGAAAGTCATGTGGTCAGATGAGACCAAAGTAGAACTTTTTGGTCTAAACTTCACTTGTTGTGTTTGGAGGCAAAAGAAGGATGAGTTGCATCCCAAGAACACCATCCCTACTGTGCGGTGGGGATGGTAACATCATGCTTTGGGGGTGCTTTTCTGCAAAGGGGACAGGACGACTGCACTGTAATAAGGAGAGGATGAATGGAGCCATTTATTGTCAGATTTTGAGCAACAACCTCCTTTCCTCAGTCAGAGCATTGAAGATGGGTCATGGCTGGGTCTTCCAACATGACAACGACCCGAAGCACACAGCCAGGACAACAAGGAGTGGCACCGTAAGAAGCATATCAAGGTTCTGGAGTGGCCTAGCCAGTCTCCAGACCTAAATCCAATAGAACATCTTTGGAGGGAGCTGAAACTTCGTGTTGCTCTGCGACAGCCCCGAAACCTGACAGATCTAGAGGAGTTCTGTGTGGAGGAGTGGGCCAAAATCCCTGTTGCAGTGTGTGCAAAGCTGGTCAAGAACTACAGGAAACGTTTGACCTCTGTAATTGCAAACAAAGGCTTCTGTACCAAATATTAACCCTGATTTTCTCAGGTGTTCAAATACTTATGTTCAGCAGTGCAAGACAAATAAATTCTTTAAAAATCATACAATGTGATTTCCTAAATTTTTTTTTTAATTCTGTCTCTAAGAGTGGGAATGCACCTACAATGTGAATTTCAGACCCCTCCATGATTTCTAAGTGGGAGAACTTGCAAAATCGCAGGGTGTTCAAATACTTCTGTTCCTCACTGTATGTGTGGGGTGATTCCAAACTAAATGTTTATCAGTAAACAGCAGTAGTATACAATGTACTGTAAATGCAGATGGATGTATCATTAAAATGCAGTCTGGGAATTACATACATTAGAAGAGTGCATCAGTTTAAATACATCAGTGTTTCCAGTGTAGAGAATTACCTCTGTAAGAAGTTCTCGTACTTTCTACGGTAGGCAAATCCTGCTCTTCTGACCCTTAAATACTCCATTAAACCAAGATATTTCACTTGGTGACGAACCACCAAATCATCAAATTTTCCTGTGGTAAACATGAGTACATTAATATAACATAGTGTTTTACAAATAGTAAATAGCAAGTAAAGAGTTTTAAAATAAGGCCTCCTTCAATGGGTGTACTTAAAGTATTACTAAACCCAGGGCCATGCATTCACTATATCTGGTCTCCCACAGTGCACACAACATGGAAATTTAAACTGCTAAATACCTTTTCTCATCAGCAGTTAGAGCAGTCTTGTGACTTCTATCAGTGTTCAGCAGAGCACTGGTTAAAGCTCGTAGAAGGAGTTTTCATTTTCCCCTGATTGTCCTATGAGGCTGCAGGACCCCTGACATTCTGTCTGGACAGTGCTGATTGGCCCTGTGCTGACCACATGCAGCCTCCCAAGAAAAAAAAAAGCTCTCTAGCAATACACACCAAACTAGAGCATGTGCAGCTTGCCCCCAAGGCTCTGTTCTATCAGCAGATGGATTGGGGAAAGTAGAAGGAGGGGAAGATCATAGAAGACAGAATCAAACAGCCTTTTTACACAATGCGGAGGATTAACCCCTTAGGTTCCACAGTGAGTATAACAAGCATTCTTTACTGCATATACAGACTAATTTTACTGTTGTGGGTTTAGTAATACTTTACGCTTACGCCCATGCGAGGGTTGTGTCTTCCTGCATGGGATGCACAGGTGTTCTGTGTATCTGCATGCAGTTAGTTCCATTGGCATGCAGTGGCTGCACAGACACAGCCACTGCTCCCAATCTGACATCCATGTTGGTGTGGGTGTGTGTCCCTGAATACACACTGTCTGTGTTCGGGGACACACACCTGCACCCACACAGATTGTCAGATTGGGAGCAGGAGCTGTGCCCATACAGCTGCAGTGTCCCAATTGACATGAATGGAACTGCCTGCACACAGATGCATGGAACACCTGTGCATCATGTAGAGGCAAACAGGGTCCTCACACTGGTGTACCGGTGTACTGGCTGACCCGATTGGTCCATCAATAGACTTCTATGGACTGGTGGGTGTCAGCGAAAAATAGTCCGCTGACAACCGCTGGCATCCGATCCAATTCTGTACAGCTAAAAGAGATGGATGGGGATCAGTTCTCCATCCATGCAGTGGATTGAATTGGATGACAATCGGGTGGAAACGGACAGGCAATCCATTTCCATCCAACTGTCCCATTGAAATCAGCGGGCACTGTCTGTGCCTGCTCTGCTGCAGCAGAGCCAACAGAGAACTGTCATCCACCAGCTCAGCGGGGATCAGCGGAGAGATCCCCCGCTGAGCAGGTGGATCACGCTGAGAGATCCGTCTCATCTGAGAAAGGCCTTAAAGTAGAACTATGGGCAACATATTTTTTTTGCATGTTGGATAGAGTAAAGAAGGATTATAACCCTTGTACATTTTTTATGCCTTCTTCTGTGTCCCATTGGGGAGCTTTCCTTTCACTTCCTGTCTCAAAGTCACATCAGGAAGTGAGAGGAAATCACTATTAAGGGGATCCCTTTGTGCCCCTAAGTCACCAGAACTAGCATCCATATTGGAAGATTTCCCCTCTATTACTTT